TTGAACTCACAAATATCCACAAATAATAATAAAAACAACCTTACTTTCCTAGCAATGAAGAAGAAAAAGGCATGTTGCTAACATATTTTTCAAAAAGATAGTCTATCGGGCTGTATCCAAGTTTACAGTTCACAAATTTAATTGATATAATCCAAAACAAAGAGTTGTCACTTCTTTATTAAAAAAAACAAAAAAACTTTATCAAAATAAAGAGTTATCACTACAGTAAAAATGATTTTTAATGGCAATTAATAGCTTAACTGTCGCTAAATATGTATTTTAACAGGCAATTGGTACTCTCTATAAATGTCCCTAAAGTTTATAGTAACTTTGAATTTAATGACAATTAATTAATATCGGTAAAGGCTCAAGCACTCTTCGTTAATGTGCATATTTATTGCCTATAAAAAATATTTTTGTTATAGTGTATTTTGGACATTTGTTTGTTTCAAGAAAACTTGATCTCTTATTATGCCCAAAAAGAAGAGACAAAGAAATATGAAAATTACTTAACTTACGATAAAAGAAGTTGACTAATTGTGTCTATACTAATATTCTAGGAAGAGTTCAATGACATACGAATTGTTTGTACCGAAGAAAAATCAATCAAGATAATATACTAATTGTGGCAAACAAGAGAGCAATTTGTTTGGTTCTTTTAACAAACTTCATCATTGGTTCCATATTAGTTATCACATATTTTTTGTTGTGTGCTATCAAATATAGCACAACCCACAAGCAATTTCCCCAAAAAGTATATGAAAAAACCTGTAGAAAGGGACAAAAGAGAAGATAAATTTTCAATCATCTTTGCTAAAAATTCACAGAGTAAAAGAAAAGTCACCAAAATAGAAAAAAGAAATTGTCATAATTACATGAATCACTATGACTTATAGTAAAGATTAAGCTCCATGAAATAGGAGGAAGAAAACTTTGAGGAATGAAACAAACTTTATAAGAAACTTAATTAATGTATTTGAATTCGACTACCCTACAGCGAAAAACACCTACAAATAATAGTGGCAGGAAATCCCTCTATTTATAGAAAACAAATGGTAGTGTGAACAAATGTGTAATATCTCGCAATTTAAAATAACTAGGAAGAAGCTAATAATTGGAAATAGTCATTTTTGGAAAGAATGAAAATCTGGAAATTTGTTTAAGTTAGGAAAAGTTGAGTTTTGGTCAACTTCAAACGGCCATAACTCCTAGCTCAGGATGATTTAGGTGTACTTCCAGATATGGTTGGAAATCTCTTGGAATGATCTTTCCAACTCCGTCAAGTTTGCGCGATTCCGAGTTTGTATGAGTAAGTTATGCTCTTTGGAAGTTGGGCTGTTGGATTAAGGAAAGTCTAATCCGGATTTTGGAAGGGTAATTTAGTCTTTTCCTTACCTAATTATTCTAATTCATTTTTAGGAGTTTAATTGGGATAAAGTCAGATTTTAGTTAGTTTTAGAAAAGTGAATTTCACTCTAGGGCTTGGAGAAGAGGAGAAAGGAGAAGAACGTTCAAGATTCGTCGATTTCGTCAAGGATAGCTAGTGGATTTCGTCGGGGTGATCCCTACAAGGTATGTGAGATCACATAGTGTTGGGTTTGTTCGCCCACGCGCCAACCATGATTCAATTCAGCGAATTTAAGTCTTTGAAAGTTTAGAAATTGAGTTCTTGATGAACATTGTTGAAAGTTTCGTTGAATTCTTGTGGATTGTGTTGTTGAAATTTCTTGATGATTTGATTCATGTTTTCGGGTGTGATTTCGAGTTGAATATATTGTATATTGAGGGTATTAATGATTCTAAGTGTTTGGAGAAAGAACCAAGTGAAATTAGAGGGTTTAGAGTTGAAAAATGAAGAAGAAAGTTCGGAGTTTTCTGAGAAGGGGACTGGGGCGCCGCGCCTCCCAGAGCGCCACAAAAGTTCCTCTGCACTTTGGGCTCTGGCGCGCCGCGCCAGCCAGAGCACCACAACAAGCTCTCTGAACTTTGAGGGCTGGTCCGCGCCTCTCAGAGCGCCAGGAACACTAGTTCTCCCCATTTCTTCCCCACCTTTTCGTACTTGTTCCTTAGCAATGTACCTATATTTTCTAGTTGATTCCAACACTCTAAGGTACATACAAACATCATGAAATATTCCATAAACATGAGATCATGAACCTTGAATCCATAATCCAATTCAAGGAAAGTTAGGATCAAAGTCAAGAGAGGTTAAGAGTCAAGTCTAAAAGTTAAGAGCAAGTCAAA